ACAAATGTCTGGACTCTTACTGGTCACTTTTATTTTTTATATATTTTATTTATTTTTATTTTATGTATATGAATGTATTGCCTGCATGTATGTAAGTGCGCCCATGTCATGTGATGCCTTGAGCAGATCAGAAGAGAGTACTGGATTCCCTGGAACTGGAGTTATGGACGGTTGTTAGGCTCCATGTGGGTGCTGGGGATTGAACCAGGGTCCTCTTCAAGAGGAGCCAGTGCTCTTAATCACTGAGCTGTCCCTCCAACCCTTTTCTGTTCACTTTTTTTTTGGTCTTTTTGAGTCAGGGTCTCCCTGTAGCCCCAGCTGTCCTGGATTCACCATGGAGACCAGGCTAGCCTTGAACTCACAGAGATCCGCCTGCCTCTGCTTTCTGAGTATTGGGATTAAAAAGGCGTGCGCCACGCCCGGCCTACTGTTCACTTTTGAAATAAGGCCCACAGTGCTCTAAAAAGCGGAACCCTTAAATTTACAGTTAATTTTCACTGAAGAACAAAGAGTTCTATGTATACTCTCCAACATTTTCACATGGGGAGAAAACACAGAAACACTCCTTTTTGCTCTGGATTGGTTTCTGAATATGTTTTCTACACTGAGCCCTCCCACTTCAGGCTTTCTTGTTTTCAATACTATATACTTCCTGACATTTCCATGCATTATAACATTGGGAGAATGGAAGAAAGCACAGGCTGGAATCTGTGGTATATATGTGAACAATTGTTAAAAGGGAAAAAAAAGAACCTCTATGATTTTATCTACTTTAAAAAGTAGATAGAAGTATTAAATGCATCCAGCCAAATTTTTATTCTAAATGCCTCTGTGCTGGATAGCTTTAGTGTCAACTTGACACACCTGGGTTGAGGGAGCTCAATTGTGGAATTTCCTCCATTGGACTGGCCTGTGGCCATGTCTGTGGGGCATCTTCTTGATTGTTGAGTGATGTGGGAGTGCCCAGCCCACTGTGGGTGATGCCACCCCTGGGCATGTAGGCCTCTGCTGCATAAGAAAGCAGGCTGAGGAGGGGCCAGGGAGCAAGCCAGTAAGCAGCATTCCTCCACAGCCTGTGCTCCAGCTCCTGCCTCCAGGTTCCTGCCCTGAGTTCCTACCTTGGGCTCCCTGATGAACCATGACCCAGGAGATGTAAGCCGAAAAAACTCTTTCCTCCCCAATTTGGTAGTGGTCAGAGTATTTTCTCACAGCAAGGGAGAAACAAACTAGAACAGCCTCCAAATAATTTTTTATAAAATAAAAACAATATTAAAATCAAGATGCCTGAAGATTAATCTGAGAAGGTTAACACGGGAAAATGGAGAGAGTAATTTTAATATAAATCTTAATTCTGTCAAAGAACTAAGAATGGGAGTAGAAAAACAAAGCACCTGCTTCATGAGGAAGAAAAATGAATTTTTAATGATTTTATGGCTGTGGTGATTTGTTTTGTCTGCCCACATGACACAATGTACAATTTTGTGGGAAGGGAGTCTCAAGAGAGAGACTGTCTAGATTAGGTTGGCACATGGGCACGTCTGTGGAGGATTATGTTAACTGAAGTAGGAAGGCCTCCCCACTGTGGGCGGTACCATTCCCTAGGCAAGGGATAAGAAACTATACAGAAGTGGAGAAAGTGAGCTGAGCACTAGTGTACAAACATGAACTGACTGCTCTCTGCTCATGGGCATGGATGTAATGTGACTAGCTGCTTCAAGTTCCTGCTGCCTTGACTTCTTTTAAATGATGGGCTGTAGCCTGGAATTGTGAGCCAGATACCTACCCTCTCTTAAGTTGCTTTTGTTAGGGTATTTTATCATAGCAACAGGAAAAGAAACTAAGGCAATGGTTATTGGACGATTTACTGAAGTCATAACTGACTAAATTTGCTCATAGCTGAAAGTTTTGTTTAAAAAGAATAAAAATGTACCATATTTTACTGGATTTGTTTTATGCATAGAGATTAGACTTTAAAACAGATAATCAGTAGGTGAGGCCTTTTGTATGGAGGGCAGATAGCATGGGCTCCAGGTATGCTCAGCAACCACAGTTCACATTGGAAATCACTGTCTATAGAGCACTGCATACTGGAGTCACTGGGGAGCTATGAAAATAGAACTGCCAGGATCCCACTCTAGGGATTTTGATCCCCTTACTAGGTATAATCTGGATGGACACAGGAATTTTTGAAAGCTCCCAGGTATAGTTAAGTCTGAGAATTACCAAAGTAGCTTGCTCCTCTGAAGAAGAGCATGTAGAAACATAATGCACTCATCTTCACAAACTAAAGTCTTGAGCTATAACAGTGTTGAAAAATCATGCTTTGACTTGCAGTAGGAAGGCAAGTCCAACAAGAAAGGTATGGAGAAAAACTTAAATTAAATTTGAAATAAGTAAAAATATTCTGGGAACCAAGTTAAAGGATAATTTGCCTGGCAATATGCAATTTCTGCTCTGATTCAGCACATAACAAATGTACTTTTAAAAAGAAATCTCTTTCCTGACTTTCCAGCAAGATATATCTGTCTGCAGGCCTTCATTCTTTAAGGCAGGCTGTAAGTTCCATACAGACAAGGGACAGCTCTGTCTTATTTGTCACTGGTATGTGGCTCATATCAGTCAATAAAACTAGACAATTGACTCAAACGGCTTATGAGGCATAGTCTGTTTCCTTTCAATGCTACTGGGACCTATTTACCATAGCTAATTATCCCTTAGGACATACTAGAAGATAAAGCTAAGAGGATGTCTCAATATAATCCTATAATCCTATTAAAAATAGTTTAAATTGGGTGTAGTGGCATATGCCTGTAATCCCAGCACTCAGGAGATGGAGCAAAAGAATTGCCCATGAGTTCCAGGCCAGCCTGGTCTACATAGTGAGTTCCAGATCAGCCAAATGCTACATAGTGAGACCCAGTCTTAAAGGTTCTTTTCCATGTATTCTGACCTGCCTACTGGTTTATGATCAGTTAATCTTTCCCTGGCAAAATTAAAGTAAAATCAGTATCTTTAATTTTAGATGTATCAAATGTTGGTTTTTTTTGTCTTCAGATTTTCTATTAAAATCTATGCTCAAGATCTACCCAGATCATAAAACAATTTAAATTTTTATCATGATATACCATGTAAAAAAATATTTTCCTCTTCCAAAGGTGAAGAATAACTTTGATCTGCCCATTTAATGACTGTAACTTGAGGTCTGGCTAAAAAAAATTAATTTAAGTACAGTATTTTCTGAACATAGACAAGCAAATCTCCTAATTCACAAACCTCAAATTTCTTCCCTTTCACCAAGGGAAACGCAGCTTCCTTTGCAGATTGTGCTAATGGGGCACCAATAAACTGGCACTGTGCTGAAGGTTAGTTACAGGGACACAATGAGGTGTTCGCAGATAGAGGCAACCACGAGCACACCCCTCATCTAGGAAAGCTCCTGCCAGGAGCTGGGAATGATGGTTAACACAGAGAAATAAGGAGGAACTGAAGGCTCATTACAACATTTGGGTTTTTCTCACATTTTCAAGTATCAGGGAAACGATGAGCTTGGGCAAAAGGGTAAGGAAATGCCCCTGGTCTTAACTCTCTTAGGAAAGAAAAGCAATAAATGAAAATATTAGGAAGTTGGGGGCTTGGACCTTATATCTACTACTTGGCAGAAGTATAACTTAGCGAGAGTTACTTGACCTTCAGGGCCTTACTGTCTCATCTGAAAAAAATGGGAAAATAACTTCTACATTCATGAAGCTGTTCTGGAAACGGAATCTGACAATATACATGACAGTTACAATAATGTCTGCATGCAGACAGCCCTTGGTAAGTATTAACCATCAGCTGCTAGGGATGGAAAGTTGAGGGAAAACCTACTACTATAAACAAGAATACTATCAGAAGAAGGACTCTTCTTCACTAGGAAGGCCTGGTTTAGCACAAGGGAATGCTCACATGGCTTTTCTGTAATTCTATTATCTTGATTTTTTAGAATATGTAAATTCTTTGGGTGGTCATTCTTGGTCACTTAGAGGAATTCATAAATCATTACTGTGGGGGAGAATTAAGGAAAGAGACAATGAATAAACTCATTTCCCTAAACCAAGACAGAACACTACTCCAAACTGCTTCTAAATATAACATGTCTACATGCATAATGTTTAAACATTCACTGTGAACTTCTGCAAAAAGTATCTGAACTTCTGCTGCAAAGTACATTACTCCAGATCACAGCAGGGCAGGGGCTAGAGGAGATTAAAGGAATCATCTAATCCCAACACTGAGTCCTGAGTCTCAGATACATGGCCAGCTCTATTTGGCCATGGAGGAATCTGGTTCTCCCCATTCTTGATTTTTTTTTTTTAACTTCAAAATTTATTGAGAATTTCATACATGCATATAAGGTGTTTCAATCAATCCTTGCTCACTCCCTCTAACTCCTCCCATATCTCCCCAGCACTTTTTCCTGACAACTTTGTCCCTCCCTTCCCCTCCTCTCCTCCTCCTCCCCCCCTCCCCCTGCTCTAACATTACCCCCTCTGAAGAACCCTAAAATCTTTTAAGGATTAGATAAGCGCTCCCAAATACTTTTGACATTTTTGGCCTTTGCCAGTTTCTTGGCTAAAAGTCAAAATGTCCTTGGGCCTCTTAGCAACAACATACCCTGTTCCATTCTTGGTATTTTTTTATGGCTCACTTTTCAAACCTACAAATGGCTAGACAGCCATAGGCACAATGTCCATGTAGCACATTAGACATCTCCATATAAACATTTCAAAAGTCAACTAATAGAAGAAATTCTTTTTATATAGTAAAATTTCCAAATGGTGGCTCTCAACACACACACACACACACACACACACACACACCAAACACACACACTACACCTGCACAAAGGTTATTTGTAGATTCAAAGTTATAGTTATTTATAATATGAGCTGCCTACATATGATTTCATTTCCACTTTTTCCATTTTAATGGCGGTATTAACGAAAATTTAAAACTCTTACCTCAAATATTTCAAAGCCGTAAATGTCCAAAACACCCATGACCTTCTTTCTCACTTTTGTTTGTGCCTTAAAAATGTCAAGTCACTGAGTTAATGCAGGCATAACAGAACTCTATAAGCGCGTACAAAGTATAGACATACACAAGCTGTTCTGAACCGAAGAACTAGAATCTAGTTGTTCTTTTAAAAACTTATGAGATGAGAGAATTGACATAGAATCTTTCAAAAAATTTAATAAGAAGCCACTTACTCACCAAAGCCCCAGATGGTACTTTATTACTAAACAGAAAATCATTGATTCTTACAAAAACAGAGCCTTTCACCTTGTCCAATACCTCATTTTAATGAAGAACACATTAGTACCTAAAGGATAAAGTGACCTTTTCATTTCATTCAAGTGTGTGCAACTGGTTAGTAAATGGTATGTAACTCTCTGCAAAGACCATCAGACTCATCACCAGTAAAACCCTACACACAAAACCAACGAAGTTCTTGGCAAATATCTTATACAAGGTAAATTCTTCTTAAGAAATCATCTTTGAAAGTAGTTCTCAATTACTTAATTATAAAACTTAACTTCTTCAACTGAATGTTTAGAACATGAACACCATTTATGACAAATGATTTCATACACAGACTCAGTACCTTAATGCTTTCATTGATTCGATTCACCAACCATGAAAACAACCTGCTGTAGAGGTTTTTAGCAAGGGCATCACGGGCATAATAAGCCTGTTAGAAGGAAGAGAACAATTTAACACTCAAACAATTATCACAATATTTAATTTCCATAAAATAATGAAAACACTTTAAAAATATTCAAAGTTCCCTTCTGGGCATGGTGGCACACACCTTTAATCCCAGCATTTGAGAGGCAGAGGCAGGTGAATCTCTGTGAGTTCGAGGTCAGCCTGGTCTGCATAGTTAGTTCTGGCCGGCTGAGGCTACAGGGAGACCAAAAAGACCAAAAAATTAAAAAATAAAAAATACTTAAAGTCCCTTTGTTTCTAATTCCTCTTTAGAACAGTTTTTGCTACATTCTGGATGAGTAGTCAAGCTAGTTAGAGAATTAAGAAAATTGCTTGCACAGTTAGCTATATTTTTGCATTCCATGAAATTAATTTCATGTATTACAGAAGTTTCGCCACAAAAAAATTCATTTCAACATTACAGAATAAAGGAAAATCAGCAGTAATTTATTTATTCTAAAAGGGAAATAAAAATTCAATAAAAGGAGGGATATGTTACACAGCCATCATAGAATAACTGTTATGAAATTAACACTCTTTATACTGTGTAAAAAAAATTGAAAAGCTATATGCTTAATATAATAACCACTTTCTTTTTCAATCCTATATGTAGGAAAGAAAATAAAATAGCTCAAATTGATGTACCTTATAAACTTTTTTTCAGACACAAAAACAAAACCAATTATTTAACTGAAGCTATAAAAAGGGGCAGTATAATTGATAAAATAATTAGCAAGAATACTTAGAATATTTCAAAAAAATTTAAAATAGGACACTACAAAAAGATGCGTGGGGAATAAAATTCCTAAACTAAGCTAGTGAGATGGCTCAGATGATAAAGCTGTCCGTCAAAGTCTGACAACCTGTGTTCAATCCCCATTTGGTGGTAGCAAAAGAACTGATTCCTGCAAGTTGCTATCTCATCTTTGATCGCCACATGCATCATGGCACAAGTACACTTAGGGAAGGAGGAAGTAGAAATTACAGAGTATCTTATACAATACAAAGGCAGGAACATAAAAGGACTGTGAACTCTAAATTAAAAACTGCATATCGAAAGATTTAGGTTTAAAAATATAGTTTTTCATTCACCCTTGAGTGTTTTCTAAAACTCTTTTACAATAAGCTTTTGTAGATTGTATAATGGAGATAAAATACCTTTTATGTGCTAATTTGTATACTTTCAAAGCAGCTCACGGCCACTGGACATGTAAGAGACAGAAGACCTATGTCTTAATGACTCCAAACCTGAAGGCTGGAGAAAGCCAGTTCTGGCAGAAGAACCTGCTGACCTTGAACATACTGGGTGCCCAGTATATACAGTAAGTACTAACGACATGTTTAAGCCAGTTCTCCTGGAAGGCTGGGGACCATATCAGCAGCCCAAGAAGGAACTGGCTTGGGAGAGGAAAGCTAGAGGCTCTGCTGTTCTTACAGAGCACCAGCCATATGTATATACCATGCAGCTTCTAAGTGGCGAGCTGAACATAACTGTTAGAATAAATTGGTATGTTTGTATTTGGTAAAGAGCACGGCTTGTTAGATTGTGTGGAAATATTGATGTAACAGTTTTAAAACACACACACACACACACACACACACACACACACACACACTTCCTTGGTGGTACAGCTGAGGAGAGCACTTCCCTTCTTACCAGATACTTCCTGGTTAACCCCAAACCTCCTTCCCCATGGTTCAGACAGCAGTAAAACCAGGAGTAAGAAAAAACAAAAAACAAAAAACAAAAAAAACAAACCTAGAAACTGGAGAGGGAAGGGAAGGAAAGGGGAGGAGAGGGAACCAGGGGGTGGGAAGGAGAGGAGAAAAGAGGCCACGAGAGGAGAGTGTGTGGTCATGGTAGGAATCCATAGGAGAAAAACCCATGTAAAATGCTAAAACACAGCAAGCAGGCAAAATAGAATTTAGATGTATATCTCCTCTGCCCAATACCCTTCTAGTTTTTACTCTCTTAAAATAGGTAATTCAAGTGCTTCCAGTAGTGTGGCGAAAGTCCACAACACATTTATGTTATGAATGCTGAAGCATACTTTCTTTTACTTCTTCATGACTATGTAATTCTTAATCTTTTCCCTTTTCTTCTTGTGAATGCAAGTTATCACAAACACCACATACTTGCAAACAATTCCCATCTTAATACCATCTAGCTCTCTCAGCTGCATACCCCCAATTCTAAGAAAGCACCCTCGCAGTATGATAGTTGAACTGACAGTGACGTGTTCTGGCAAACTGTTTTATAGTCCTTAGCGTGCATTCACAGCCCGCATTTTTCTTCTTTGTTCCTTTCAAAGAAATGCTTTATTTCAGGAGTCTCAATGCAAATGGTTTTAGACTGTGTGATAAAAATGAACAGGAAGTAGAGGTTTGTAGGTGTTGGAGGATGTGTTCTAAGTTCAAGGCACTCAAACTCAAAAACTTAAAAGCAGAGAAAACAAAAACCAAAACTATCCATTAGGCAAAAAAAATCCGCCTGTGCAGTTATTATCTGACCCAAAGGACTAATTGGATAGCCTGCCTTCTGAAGCCTGAATCAAGCTACCTAATCTCCACACTCACACCACAGAAAGCAGAAAGTGCAGGGATGCTGATTCTCATTTGAGAATCACTACTGTGGTAAACATCATGGGGGTAAACATCAACGGTGAAGATTCATCAATCTGGGAGCCTGTTTGGTCAGGGAAAGCTCTTTGGATGGGGCACAATTCCATGAACCCTGTACACAGGCAGAAGGAATGAGCAATGATGTGTAGATGATGGGCAAGCAGAGGAAAGATACCAAGTAAAAATAAACATGGGACTTAAGAAACTAGGAAGCAATTAACTGAGATAAAATCATATGAGTAGGGTCAGATAACAGAGGGCCCTGGAGGCTAAGCAGAGAGTGAAGGGGTAAAACCTGGACAATAAATTCTGTCCTGAGTTTTCATTATCTTAGTATGAATCTTCCTGTCTACAGAAAGATCTAAATGATGTGGGGAAAGTGAGGCAAGGTAGGAGGGCCATAAAGATGCTACTGGAACCTAAGATTGAAACTATGAACAAACGTTGGCAGAGTAAGTTATTGCTTCCAGAATGAACACCTACCACACTGTGAAAACACTCTCAACTACAGTAAACAGCAGCTGCTCCTGACAGAGGTGCTAGAAACCTGAGAAGCTCAAGTCAATTTTTTCATGACAAAGGTTAAAAATGTTTGGGAAAGCTTTACCAGTGATAGAAGGTAACTCAAATAAGCTTATCAAACAAGAGGCAAATGGGTCCAGTTTCTGTAGAGGACGAATAAAAAGCAAGAAGAAAACACCATAAAAACAGACCCAAAATCCTCATATCCCTATGGGGACTTCTGAAATACGCAGGCCTTTTCAGGACTTTGCTGTATATTGTTGACAATATCCAAACTTGGTGGGTCTCTAAATGTCACACCTCTGTTTGCATCAGAGACACAAATTCTTTGGTCCTACCCTAGACCACAGAATCTAACACTCTAGGGGAGTGGGCAACAAACTGTGATTGACAAGCCACCCAGCTAACTGTGATTGAGTGTCCAAGCCTTGAGGACCACTACTGTAACACTTCACTCTCTGATCTCAACCTGGTTTTCCAGTCACACTCTGAATCCCCTTCCTAAACCTGCAGCTGGAACCAAGCCTGGCCTATCCTAGTCCAGACACAGGTTCTAAAACTGGCTTTTCTAGAAGCTTCCCCCCTCCCTTTTGCCCATTCTTTTCACATTTAAATCCTTCAATTTCCCCACAAAACCTTTCTTAGTCTTCATTTCTCTACCACATGGGGGCCTGTACTGTGTAGGCTCTCAGCAGGAATCCTCTCAGTAAAGTCAGTCCCTCACTCGCCTGGCTGTGAAGAGTCAGGCTGACTCAGATACAGTGGCAGAAGCATTGACTTAGGAGGGAAGACTACAGTTAGAGCTAGGGAAGAACTGCTACAAAATAGATCTCCATATCTATAGCATTTGCAGAGCCACAGTAACTCATCTAAATAAAGACACACAACAATGCTGAAAGAGAGGAAAGGGCAAAGGCATTCTTGGGTAGGAAAACCTCACTCTGTTCAGAGGAACAGGGAGAAGGGCTGAATTCTACCCTACTGTCTTTCAGAGGTTGAAGGCTAGTTACAAGGATGAGACCAGAGAATGAGGCAGGCCTGTAAGGGAAGTCCTCACTAGACATTTATTTCTAGCCCAGATCAGCACTGGCTGGTAGGAAAATGTCTAACCCACAGAACAAAGGGTTCACATAGCAAGGGACTCCAAATGCTGCTTGGCTGCATTTGCATCCCTTGGTCCATCCAAACACCAGTGCATTCCATTTGAACTAAAGGGAGAGCAGGTAGCAACTCTTACAAAGACTTCACTGGTCTCAGTGTAATGGATACTGGGGATACAACAAGAAAGAAAGGTATTGACTTTGACCAGTTTAACCACAAACTGGCTTCTAAGGGCATCACCAAACAACACTGAGTCACTCGTGGCTCCTCCCACACTGTTCATCAAGCCATCAGCAACCAGTTGCCCCTATTTGCAAACCAGACCCAAATTCAACCACCTGGCTCAAAGCCCTCATTAACTCTGGGTTAGTGAGTTCCCTCCCAACTGCTCTGCTCCCCCCTGCTTCCCCTAGGCTCTGCTTTCTAAGTCTAGCCAGAAGGACCCAGAAGACAGATCATGCCCACCTCTGATGGATGCTCCAGGACTTTCCCAGCTCACTTTTCACTCTGACCAACCCTTGTTCCTGGCCCTGTGGCACTTGATCTTCTTTACTCTGCTCTACTCTTTCTTCTGTACTTAGCATCTGTTGCTTGCTGGATTATTTACTGCATCTACTCATTATTATTATCCAATCCCCTGCCCCCAGTTTTCAGCTCCCTGAGGACAGGGATCCTTATTTGTTTAATTTTTCCTCTGTGTGCCCAATGCTGGGAATACAGTGTGACCCCAGAGACAACATCCTGCAAAATAAAATTTCACATAAAAATAATACCTACAAAAAAAACCTCTTCTAATATTACAATTTACCTACCTGAGCTACATTCAGTGTAGTTGAAACTTTCTCCTGCTTGGCTTCAACTGTTCGGAAACTGAATGCTCTTTCTAGAACCAACTGATCAATGCTGGTCAACTCACAAATTTCTTTTAACTCTGTTTGGGACCAGAGGAAGATGGAGACAGAAAGTGACTATAAACTACTAATGATCATTATCAAGGCTTAGGCTGTTCTTTCTAAATCACACACAAATGATATAAACACATATAAATTAGAACACTGAAATTTTCACTGCAATTATATTTCTTTAGTTTTACTATCAAGCTTTTTCAATCCAATGAGAAGTCCAAGGTTTGCTTTCCAGATTAAAAACTGGGCAGAAGTTCAAAGCAAGTTTCCTAAGCAAAGCTGTTTCTCCAATGACTTACCATTTTTATCTTTGATTTTGCTTTCATCCAAACCATTCACTCGTGATTCGGGCTTGAACTCAATGTTCCCCAGTTTCAACACAGCTGCCACTACCTCCAAGACAGACTCGGCTTCATGATCCATAAAGCCTACAATCTGCATGGCATTCTGGGAAATAAAAGAAGCATCTGTTTTCTTTCTATAGTTCTGTAGCTGTTGTGTTGTTGTTGTTTGCTTGTTTTACAGATTCATATTACAGATTTATTTCAGGGGTACAAAAAATTTCAAAACACAAAGTGATTATCTTGTTCAGTGTTTCTAAGCTGTGATTCAAGGACCTTGGGAGTACTGAACAGGCTTCGGGAGGAGGGGAATCATGTAAATAGACAGAAGGAAAAGAGGAGGCTGGATGCTAAGCCTTAGGTCCCTGCCTTCACTTCAAACATTACAACTAATTTCTTTTTTCCACACTGGGGATCTGCTAAAAGGTAAAGTGCCCCAAAAGGTACAAGGGACACACATTCGTTCACAAATGTCCATGAAGTGGCCAACTATGTGCCATGCACAGAGGTTAGAAAACTGGCCTTGACCTCAAATTTTAAACAAAATCATGTCCAGACTATTGCTTCCATATGAGGATGTTTATAAAGCTCTACACAATGGAATACTCTGAGAGATGATTTTTTTTTTTCTGAGAACAGCTGGTGGTGGTGGTGTGTGTGTGAGAGAGAAGGGCAGGGGAGGGGGGGGCTAGGCTACACAGCAATAGGAGCAATGTACATTTTTGTTATGGAAATTTCAAACATAAACAAAAGTAGAGAGAGCAAGGAAAGAATCCCACATCCTCTTCATTCAGCCACAGCAATTAATTGCTGCCAATCTTGTTTTATTGGTAATATGACACCCATTCTCCCCCTCAACACAACCCCAGCTGTCTCATTTGGAAGTAAATCCCAGTTACCATAATGTCATAATGGGGGTAATTTTGAAAATGTGTGCCACATAAAGACAGAAAACAGAGAATTATGTAAAATTGTTTCTTTTCTAATGAATGAAGAATGCTAATTCTTCCGGTGTATACATCAATTTTCTAAAACCTATTAAAAACAGGATTTTCTGTCCAAAAAACATTTTCGATTTACCAGGATCCAAAAAGCAGTTTTCACATTTGGAAATTAACTTTGGCTATAAAAATACTTGGGATTTCAAGACTACATTAAAAGTCAAGTCCCAGGATAATAGATGAAGGCTCCTTTTGATAAATGATAAAATTGCATACTCTAGTAAACGTAGCTTTCACAACCTGGTATGATTGTTGAGCTAGTATAAAACCAAACTCATAAAAACATAATGAATTCTTAGAAAAGCCTAAAACCTTGGGGAGCATGAATTATACTTTAAAGAAAACTCAGAATTACTACCAGTTCTGACTGAGCAATATGGGGTTACCCATTTTAAGGTGTAATGAAAATTTCCTCTTACCCTAACGGTTCTGAAATTGGCAGCATCATCCACGCCATTCACTTTGGCAGAGTCCAGACTCAGATAGTTGTATCTGCTGAAATCCCGCTCAAGCTTAAGTTTGTCTGTTGAATCATATATACAAATTGATGAATTATTTCAATAAATGAACTCATCTTCACCACCTCACTGCTTTATCCTTCAGGTAAAATGACTTTCATATTATGTGTTGAATTGACAAAACAAAAACAGATGCACAAATATTAACATTTTCTAAACTCACTTTTGTCACTGTTGTACATTATTCAAACCCCGCTTTTTACATTTATTATTACTGTGTAATATTTTAACATGGGAAGCCTAGATGGTGATTCCTCATCATTACTAGGGTTCATTCTTGTTTATAATAATAAATGCTAAAGAGTGGGAAATGTCCTTCAGACAAAGTGATTCTGGAACTCATTTGAATCCTTCTGAAGTGATACATCCCCAGGAGGAGCTCCTCTCTTGGAAGTGACACCCATACACTCTCAGTAGAACAGTAGAGTCTAGATAGAATACCAACTTTTTATTTTTCACAACTCTTGCTAATACACATATAATGAGTACTTCAGTGGTGTTGCAATGTGTATTTGTTGATCGTTATAATGTGAGGATGGTGCTGACAGTTAATGGTCATTGTCAACTTAACTGAATTCAGAATCACCTAGGAAACACAACTCAGTGTCTCCAGAGAGATTTAACTGTAAAAAGGCACACCCAAAATGTGGATGGCACCATCCCATGTAGGCACAGACTAAACAAAAGGTTTCAGGAGAAAGTCACATGAACACCAGTACTCATTTCTCTGTGCTCCTGCTCTGCCCGGATGTGAGCAAGTACCTCATAGTCTCACTCCTACAGCTACAAACCACTGCTGCCATCCTGCCTTCCCCATCATGATGGGCTGGATCCCTCAAATCATGAGCCAAATTAAACCTTTCCTTCTTTAAACTGCTTATTCTTAAGTATCTTGTCACAGAAATAAGAAAGGTAACCAAAACAATAATAGCTTATCTTCCTGAATGTTGTTGGCTTTAAAAAGCCAACAATATGAATATCACATTCACAAGGATATTCAAGCAGTTTAATCAAGCAGTTACTAACTACTGAATGTCCTTGTGAATGTGATATTAATTCTCTAACCGATCTGAAGGTCAACTTGCATTAGCTACAAATATCTTTCCCATGATTTTTAAAAATGTTTGATACATGTCCACACATGAATGCCACAGTATATGTGTGGTCAGAGGGCAACTTATGGGAGTAGCTCTCTCCTTCTACCATGTCCTGAGGGTCCTGAGGACTGAATTTAAGTTGTCAGGCTTGGAGGTAAGTGCCATCAGCAACTGAGCCATCATGCCTGTTACTCCCTATGATTTTCAAATCCCCACTGAGCAATTTTTTACATAACTGTATACATTTACTACTCGTGGCTAATTTTGTCTTGCTATGAGAAACATAGTCTTCAGCTTTAGGTTTTAAATGTGTGGCTGGTCTCTCCCCCACGATCAGGCTCTAGTAACACATCTGGGGTGTGTGGCACAGTCCCTGGTGAGGCGGGGAACATGGAGAGATACTAGGGAGGGGTAGAAGCAAACAAAGCATGTTCTCTACTTCAACGAGTCATGGAAAACATCTAAGGGGAAACATATGGACCGTGTTTTACAGAAAATGCCTCAGAAAATGCTGTGACAATAAAAAACAAAACAGAAAGAGGACTTACGGAGGAGCTCTTCAGAGGCACCAGAGAGCAGCTGATAGAACACATGGAAGTTTCTCTCACCTCTTGGCTGCTTAACAACCCGAGATTTCTCTAAAAGATCTAAAGCAAAAAAAAAAAAGAATCAAAGAATCAAATCATGTATAGAATTCATTTTGCCTTCAAATAACCATACTTCTTTTCTCTTTTCTTTTTCACTAAAAGCAATAAGAGAAGTTACATTTTAAGTTCTACTTTGAAAAAACAAGTACAGCTCAACTAAAATCATCAAATTAACCAGGTCAATTCAATAAGCCAACTAAAGAAAACAGCTTTTAATACTAATATCTCTTAGTTTTTAATGATATTAAACTCTTTAAAATGAAATGTTATAAATTTAAGCAACAAAGTGCAGCCATTCAGTTATGACTCCACATAGTAAAATAAACTTTGAGTTACTGTGTGTTGATGTCCTCATTTTATTAGGCATCATCGTTCAGCTGAACACACAGACAAGAGCTAGCTGGGGAACTAGGCCATGAAACAAACCATCCCATCCAGGTGCAGCCACCACACTCCACACACACCCTCCACCTTCTGGAAGAATCAGAGAAAGTTTTTCTAGATATTCAGTCTTGAAATTTTGTGTTATTTGGCAGTATACTTTTACCGATTCTGGATACTTTTTTATCTCTTAAATTTAAGGTCTTACCAAGTTTTTAAACTTTTATCCAGAAATGAAAAAAAACAAAGAAACCGGGAAGGAATCACTGTGACAGTAAATTACAGAAATTCGTCCCTAGAATCCTGCTAACCCCTCACAGCAATTCAAAAGAGGGTCTGAGCTCTGTAGGCAAAGGCCGGTTTTAACAATGAAAACATCTTTATACATACAAGTTTTTACCTATAAAATAAATTTTAGATATGTAATCCCAAATCATCAATTCTGTTTACTGTTATTACTGACACATCTGAGTTCTGATGTTGAAATACAATGTTATTTAAAGGGGGATAGGGATAAAAGGAGAAAACTGTGCAGCCTCCTGAGGAATGTTCACTGATGTTTTTAGTCTTTATTTGTGCAATCCACACCAGCTTTTGAGGATAGAGTGCAAGAAATGATGTGGAGATGATGAATGGGAAATCCTAAAGTATTCTAAATACATTAAGCTGTTAGTGAGAATGAAGAGACGAGGGGCTGAAGAGATGGCTCAGCGGTTAAGAGCACTGGTTGCTCTTGTAGATGACCCAGGTTCGATTCCCAGCACCCACATGGCAGCTAACAACCATCTGTAATTTTAGTTCCAGGGCATCCGACACTCTCTTCTGACCTCTGTAGGCATTGTATAACACGGGTACACTTATATACATGCAGGCAATACACACATAAAATAAAAGTAAATAAAAATAATCTTTAAAAAGAATGAAGAGATAAATTTCAAGGACATATATTGAACCTACTGAAAAAAAGAACAAAAATATTTAAACACAAAAACTGTTAAAAAAATGAGATGCTGCAGATCTTTTTATCTTCATCTCTAGCTGTCACAATACTTGGGAGACTACACTGCCCTCAAATTGTAGGTGAAGAAAAATGACTTTACATTCAGAAAAGAAGGGGGAGGACAAAAGGTGAAAAGCACTAGTCAATATAATTTAGGGGGAAAAGTAATGAGTAATACTCATCATCTTGAAAGAAATTAAATTTTAGTAAATTAACAAGCATATAACTAACACCAGAGCAAAGAAATAAATAGGTAAAGGCAAAAATATAGTATAATTTTACTTATCAAGTAGTGGAGCTTCTCTGAGGTAGTAAACTACTACTACAGTTTTAGAATAAAGAATCCACAGGCAGATTCTTCAGGGAGAAATTAATCCTCAAAGGAAATTCCCCAAGTCTAAAAGAAAATAATTTGACTACATGGGAAATATAAACAAGGTCTGAAGTCTGCTTCAACCATCAATGTACAAATTCCTTCAGTCGGCTCACTGCTTACCCACTGTGCACCAGGAACGAACTATTCAGGAATGGGCACAGTACAGACTGCAAACATGAAGGCTTTCTCTTGGCTTACAAATCACACTTTTCAGTTACTGTGCCATTCAAACCAACAGAGATAAGTGAGATAAGTTGCAGGCTGGGGGGATGCCTCAGTGGATAAAGCACTTTCCTACCATGAAGGCCAGGATGTAAATGCACTTGCTGAGCAAGTGTGAAAGACTAGAGTTAGGATACCAGAAACCAGGTGAAGCCAGATGCAGGAGTACGTATTTGTAATCCTGGTGTTCCTATGGTGAAATGGGTGGGAAGCAGAGACAGGAAAATCCCTAAAAACTCACAAGCCAGCCAGCTTGGTATACTCATCTGTGAGCAGGAGTTACTGCCTCAAACAAAGTAGAAGGCAAGGGCCAACACTTAAGGTTGTCTTCTGATCTCTACATGTGTACCATGGCACATGCATGCTCCCCTCCCACACACATACATACAAAGAAAGATGACAAGTTTCTTATTACTGAGAAAGTGAGGAAGGCAAAATGACTAAAACACCCAGGCTTTCCCCATAGCCCTAAGAACCCTGCCACATCCCATAAGCACTGCACATCTTGTCAGTCTCTGACATCTCACCCGGATAGTGTCATCTTAATCATGTCTAAACTATGGCAAAAACGGACTGTTTGTCAGCACTTACAGAGTCTTTTCTCAAAAGCAAATTTTGATGCTTCCAGGCATAAAATAATACTCTCAAACTGCAGGTGATCTGTTGGCCACACTGTGCAACTGCAACACACTGGTCACCCTGATGTCTGGTCCCTTTGAAGAACTGCTCAGACCACGGAGAATGTAGAAACAGCAATGGCTGTCAGATGCATCACAGCACAGAAACCTAAAGACCAGTATCCACTGTGCATGTGAGAAGGAAGGCTGGCAGAATGTACTTCTTGATCCACTCATGGACTGATAATGATCTCTAATGACTACCATATTCAAATGATTCACAGGGCTACCTGTTTAAAAGGAAGGGTGCAAAAGGGAAGTAGACATAGACGTTCAACTTCCTTTCCATTTATTTGAACATTCAGCCCTGACTTCTCTGAGGCTGGTTGATTCTGTCACCTTTACTTGACAGAAGAGAAAATGAGGCGCATGTCATACACTTGGTAAATGACAGTCTGAGATTAAGCTTTGGGTGGTAAAGGCTCATGCGTAGGCTGTGTAATTTTCTAGCAAAAGAAGAATGTAAAACCTTAAAAACACTTGGAAATATTGTACTTTATCTGAAATACATGAATTCACTAAGCAACTCTATCACAAAATGAGAAACCTTTTATTACAAAGCAGTTGAAGGCTTTACTACTTAAAATGCTTACACTATTACCCCAGAGCCTCCTATTTCAGCTTCTTTATGACTTTTCTTATAAGTCATAAGCTTCCAGGTAGAAAAGTAATTAGGGAAGATATTTGCCCCAAAATAATTTACTAATGCTCAAAACCATCCCCTGTTGGCGTTTTGTGCTAAATGTGCATGTACCAACATAATCTAACAGCAGGAAGCCATATCAAACAATCACTCAAAGTAGAGAACATAAAGTCAGTTCACTACAGGACTTCTCACCTAACCACTTTAATTTACTTAAACGTGCCCCTGAATGAAGTCAAAACAGAACAACACTGGCACAGCCTTCTCTTCTGCCTTAGGTACTGATGTCAGTGCTGGCTGAGCCTCTACTAACAAGATTTACAGAAGTCATTACAAGATGCCAGATACTTAGTACAGGAGAGCATATAAGAGCCTCCAATGCAACTGCATCCCCTCCTCAAGATGTAAAGTTTACATCAAGTTTAATATAAATTGCACATTATACAGGAAGAGGCAAACTTATTAAGCCATGTTAAACGAAACAATAGAGACAAAGAAACATTGAACTGGGAGCTTGTCCCCCTACCCCACTGTGCCATTACTGACTACTGACATAAAGAACCAAGTCATCACTTTAGGGGCTTTCTAATTTTGTGAAATTATCAACTAATCCAGGACATGTGCATGTTCATGTCTTAGTACACCTCCCCTAGGCAAATTGTAAGGGGAATAAAACATTCATGGTTGCACCAGCTGACGAGAAGGCTTTTATTTCTTAATAGGCCAAAGAATAAAACTGAGTAAAAGGGTTAGATTTATTATCCTGGGGTATAATGAAAGATTAGACAGCCTGGCAAAAAAAAAAAATTGTTTTATACATAATCTCCTCTCCTCGAAAAAGAAGTGGCCCCACACTGACTGCAAAGCTGCAGCACTTCCCCTCGGTGTCCCGTCATCTCCTCTGATGTGCTTGTTGTCTCCTCAGCCCTCCTTTACAGCTACTGTCTAGATGGACAGGAGGGCACCATGAAGTCCTGTGTGACTCCACGACCAGGTTTTGTTTAACTGTCCATCTAAACTAGCAGGTGTTTGGAAATTAAAGAAAAAATTAAATCTTTACTAGTGGTGCCATTACAATTAAATTCATAAAGACTGAGTATTGAAAAAGGGAAAAAGAGCCAGGCATGGTGGTGCAGGCCTCTGATCTCAGCACTTGAGGGGCAGAGGCAGGTGGATCTCTCAAGATCAAGGTCAGTATGGTCTACATAGGGAGCTCCAGGCCAGCTGGGGCTACAGGGAGACGCTGTCTTAGAGAAAGAAGAAAGAGAAAGGAAGGGATGGAGGGAAGGAGGGAGGGAAGGGGGGAGGGGGGGAGTGGTCCAAGTTCTCGATGAAGGCATGTAAAAAAATTACTTTGTCTTAATTTCACCAGAGAAGACAGGATGATATTGAAAGCCTGCGACTCAGAATGCTGATTGCCCCAGAGACCCTGCGCCTTTTCTCCAGTGGCTTGAAGAGCAACACTGGAAGAAAACATCTCAGAGCTGCTTCTTAGATGATTACATACCAACCCTCCAATTACCCAACAGCCAGAGAGTTACTGAGAAGAATTTTTGAAAGTTTAGCTGGAAAATTCTAGATATGAACTTAGGTATATTTAGCTATTAGGGAGATAAGATTTTAAAATTAATTCTGTCCTCTTAAAAGTATGAGGACTAAAGTTCAGATCCCCAAAAGTCATGCAAATGCCAGGTAGATGTG